TCTTGCCCACTGACCCTCTGCTTTACCCAGCATGATGTATTTCTCCAGGGACTGGCTGCTCCTGAATAGTCTAAGCTAGGTTAAAATTTCCACCCATCTACCAAACAATTTCCTTTGATAAAATATCTAAAAGAATTATTTTTATTTATCTGTGATTTCACATGAACCTCAGATAATGCTGTAAGAAAATGTTTCTCAATTGAGTAAATACTAATTTCTAAGTGAGAAAGTTTCCCCTTTCTTAGGTTCTCATAGGCATGAATTAATGTAGTTTTAAAATAGAATAACAACAATTTAAATTTAAAAAGTGATTTAGATCAGACCAAATTAATGATTGAGGAATAAGAAAAAAAGTTCTTTCTGTTCTCATAAAGCGCTAGCTGAAATGCTGTTCCCTGGGTACTGAGGACCTGCACAGGAATGTGTGTGGTGGCTTTGTTGATAATTGTCCCAAAGTGGAAGCAACTGAGATGCCCTTTCAAAAGTTGAATGGATAAATAAAATTCAGTATTAATTATTTAGTCATAAAAAGAAATTAGCTATCAAGGCACACAAAACCATGAAGAAACCGAAGTACATGCTACTAAGTGAAAGAAGCAAGTCTGACAAGTCTTGTGCTGTATGATTCCAATGATACGACAGTCTGGAAAAGGCTAAACTGTAGAGATGGCAAAGATCTCATGGGTCCAGGGGTAAGGTGGAGAGGACAGACAGGTGATGCAAATGGTGATTTCAGGGCAATGAAGCCATTTGGTGTGTGTGACCTATGACGCTAAGCATTTGTCAAAACCCACACGACTGTAACACAAATTGTGAACTCTCATGTAAACGATGGACTCCTGGTGTGGTGCTATAGGATCAGCACTGGACTTTGATCCACAAGGTTGGCAGTTCAAACCCACCAGCAGCTCCTCAAGAACCCTATACAGGGTCACTATGAGCTGGAACCAACTCGACGACATTTAATAACTACAACAATGTAAACTATGGATTTGAGTTAATAATGAAGGGCTCTTTATGTTAATATGTAGCAATATGGATCCATCAATTCTAACTGAAGGACCACCTGGATGCAGTCTGTTACTAAGGAAAATGGCAGGCTGAGTGGTTGGAACAAGGGAACTCTTTAGTCTCCCATGAGCTCCGACCACCCAGTGGTAAAGCTCTTGGCTGCTAACCAGAAGGCTCAGCCCACCAGCTACTCTGTGGGGAGCGATGTGATGCTCTGTTTCCGTCTTGGAAACTCTCTGGGGCCACTCTACTCTGTCTCAGAGGGTGACTCTGAGTTGGAAGGGACTTGGCGCAGTGGGCTTGATATCTGGTCTGTACTTCCTGCACAGTTCCTCTCTAAACCCAAAGGTAGAATGCATTAAACAACAAACAAACACAAAAAAGCAGTTTCCTTGCAAATGGCCATTAACCCAAACAAGGAGTCAAGAGTCAGAGGCTGGAATTCCTTTCCATCTCTCCTGCAGGCGTAACTCTCACTCCGAGGCATGAGCAGTGCTTACCGGCCTCCTTCTGCAGACCCAGGTGCCGTAACATTCCTGCTACACAGAACCACCCCAGCCCACCTCCCAGAACTCACGGGAAGTCAGATCAAACACAGAATGAAAACAGCAACATTTCTCCACATCCAAGCAACCTGATTTGGCAAGAATGTACGGCTTATATTTGAAATGATAACCACTTTAATGAAAAATCAAAATTAAGGATTACCTTTTGGGCATATTCATCACACGTGGGCCCCACAGGAACTACCATTACCTGGCGAGGAGACAGCCAGAGAGGCCTTTAGGAGAAAACGAAAAGTATTTTATGTGAATTTGGGCATCATCCTTACACAGGGACAACACATTTCTTAGTCTCTTCTTTTATCTTTTCCTGAAACATAAAGGGGCTAGTTTTAAAAAGTCAAGCTTTTTCTCCCCCAATATCCAAAGAATACTAAGGGGGTTAAATTCAAAAGTAAAAAACTAACCCTAACTCATACCAATCTGTCACTACGATTATCTTGCCACACAGATTGCAAAGGAAAGTGAGGAGAGGGTTTACACTCTCACACATTTCTAATCGCCGAGTCCTGGATGCAAGGGGTTAAAAAAATAAGATTAAATAACTACACTTTTGTTGTTGTTGTTCAAGTGCTGTCGAGTTGGTTCCAACTCACAGCGGTGGGTTTGAACTGCCAACTTTGTGGTTCAAAGTCCAGTGCTGATCCTCTCCTACAGCACCACACGACAGTTGTTGTTATTGCTAAGTGCTGTTAAGTCGGTTCTGACTCACAGCGACTTTGTATAAGGTTTCCAGGGAGCAGCTGATGACTTTGAGCCACTGACCTTGAGGACCTGCACGTATCCTACAGTGCCACACCAGGACTCCAAGTATAAGATACTCTTGAATAATTAATCACTGGCATTACAGTATCTTCCTTGCCCAAGGGTAAGTTAACCCCTGGACTACTAACCGCAGAGTTGTGGTTCAAACCCACCAGCAGCTCTTTGGAAACTACTTGTGGTCACTATGAGTCGGAATCCACTTGACGACATTAACAACAACACTCTATACTTATTCTTCATGGGGCGGGGGATTCAGCAAACTGTAACTAATAAAAGTGATGGAATTTAAAAACAAGTGCATTTACACTATTTATAAAAAATGATCCCATTACACTTCTCCCGTTATATTATTTCAGGTGAACTGTGCTGCCATTCACGAGTCATACATTTAATTAACTCGTCCCTAAGGAGCTCTGGTAGCGTAGTGGTTACGAATCGGGCTGTGAACTGCAAGGTCAGCAGTTCGAAACTACCAGCTGTTCCACGGGAGAAAGATGAGGCTTTCTGTTCCCGTAAAGATTTACAGCCTCGGAAACCCTGTACAGGGTCGCTATGAGTCAGAACCAACTCCATGGCACATAATAACAACAATGTGACGGCCAAGGAGCTCTGGTAACGTAGTGGTTACGAGTTGGGCTGCTAACCTCACGGTCAGCAGTTCGAAACTACCAGCAGTTCTGTGAGAGAATGATGAGGCTTTCTGCTCCCCTAAAGATTTCCAGCCTCGGAAACCCTGTACAGGGTTGCTATGGGTCAGAACCAACTTGACGGCAATTAACAACAACAACGATGTGACAGCTGGAACTGCAGTTGCCTTGGCAGGGCCAGACCAAATGATTTTTCAGACCTGATACAGGCCACGGGCCAGACGTTCCCCACCCATGTTCTAATGGATGTCAAAATACTTGCCCATTGGGATCTGGCACATGAACCAGGGAAGTCAAAAGACTACTAGTGTACTTAGATAGGAATTGGACCTGACTCATAGCTACCCTGTATAGGGTTTTCTGAGAAGTAGCTGGTGGGTTTGAACCACCAACCTTGTAAATCACCAAACAAAACTAAATGAACTTCAAAAGCAATCAGAGTAATAAATATGCTTCTTCTTAACTCATAAAAAAATTACATAGCAACCAAACAAATCAAGTCATGAAGTAAAGAATATTACTAATGAAAATATTCTTCCAGCTCAAAACTTTAGGCTTAGATTCGCATTCCTTATGCTAGAGTGAACACCTGTCCGAAGTGGAAGGGAGCCATTAGAACCATTATCCGTATCCATCTCAGAACTAAAGTACACAGCTGTTCCAACCAATGCCCACTGCCCAGACAAAACCCAAACAGTGACAGACGTTACCATTTGCCTCCATAGTTCTCCGTGAGAATAGCAATCATTCTTTCCACTGACCCCAGGATGGCTCGATGAACAATTACTGGCCTTTTCTTATCATCACCATCATGGCTATAAAGAAACAAAACATTTGCTTCGCTTTATTAAATCTTTTCCCCTTACATCCTTGGAGAAAAATGTTCAGAGTAGACTCAGAAACTCACCTTACAAAAGTAAGATTAAATCTGATGGGCAACTGAAAATCCAGCTGGATTGTTGCACACTGGTGGTATCGCCCAATTGCATCTTTAATCTGTATGTCGATCTGAGAAACAAGAGGAGGCTACCTTAAAGTGGAGTTTTAAAAACTGATTTTAAAGTAATTTCTACTTCACCAGTAAATGACAAGCTCATCAGCCCAGAGCCTGATATACTTTAGTCCTGACCTTTGGGCCGTAGAAAGCTCCATCACCAGGGTTCAACTCCCACTTTTCACCGAATTCATTTAGGCTGTTTTCCAGTTGCTACGGATAAAGCAAAATGATGGTTATTTTCAGTTCATCTGCAACATCCTTCTTCTAGCCTAAACTGAGTTAAATAAAGCTTTGACAGGTCACATTTATCATTTTACCTACTTACACATACCACACTGTTAAGCAAATAATATGCAAGTGTTTGCAAGTGGTGCCACCCCCTCATATGTATTTCCTATGTGCGTTATACGTATGTGCACATTATTTGCATAAACATACAGTATGCTCACAAATCCCTTTTATAGTTATTGGCTTTATATAACTTAAAAAAAACTTTAATCCAAATCCATATTCACAGAAAAAAAACTTGCTTCCTCAAACCAATGAACCATCGCTAATTTTCTTTTGCTTTAATATGTGTCAAAGGTCTGGCTTTCTGACAACTTTTTACAAGTAAATTTCAGTCTGAGAGTATTCAAACACAATGAAAAACACCACTTACTTTCTCAGCTTGATTCCATACTTCAATATCTCCAAGGAATTTTTCTGGGCGAGTAGAAAGGTTCAGTTTAAAAGAAAATCCAAATACACCATACACGGTGCGTAGAAAATCCAAACAACCTTTGATTTCATCCTCAATCTTTAAACAACAGAAGGAAATGGTGGTTATTTCTTGGACTTTGCTGGCACTGCTTTTACAGGATTTGATTGTGCAGCATCTCCTACCTGCTCCATGGCACAGAAGATGTGAGCATCGTCCTGCTGGAACCTTCGCACTCGGGTGAGTCCGGTGAGAGCTCCTGACAGCTCGTTCCTGTGAAGCACCCCAAAGTCGGCTAACCGAAGTGGCAGCTCTCTCCAAGACCTTGGTCGGTGGTCAAACATGAGGCTGAAGAAAGAAGAAGAAAATCCAGAGATGTAATTTCACCAGAATATTACATTTAATTATACAAAAAGCTGTCAAAAAAAAAAAAAAAAAAACAACCAATGCTTCTAGTTATCTAAGCCTGCAACCCATCTCAAATTCTGGTGTTCATATAGCAGTTTCACACATGGATAAATAAAAAGTGAGTAAATTGTCATACAGCCAGCTATAGTTTAGAATAAGAAATTTATTCCCATAAGCCTGAAGTCACGTCCCTATACTCAACATTTACATTACTCTAAGGACTGCTTTTTAAGGGTCATACTTTCAAAAACCTTAGTCACATACAAATCATTTGTGGCTCTGTGGGTTAATGCGTCAGACTGCATGTCTGTTTGAACTGCAAGGTTGGCGATTCAAGCTCACCAGCTGCTCCTCGGAAACTCTTACAGGGTTGCTATGGGTCGGAATTGACTCGACGGTACTTTACAACAACAACAAAGGACTGCTTTTAAGGGTCATACTTTCAAAAACCTTAGTCATATACAAATCATTTCTACACTAATAACTAAAGTTAAATGTGCTTTCTTATCACTCTCATAATTGCTTCTATTCCTTTTTAGGCTCAAGATGCTTTAACGAATTTGAGAAAATTAAGAACAGATTCAGAGGCTGCTAGCCTACACCCACCAGATTCCTCATGGAGATTCCCTGGTTTCTCCTGCCTCCTTTGCCCTTGAATCCTTGCCTGGAGCTATGGATGCTCGCTGCTCTGGGGACAGGCTTGGGCTACCTGCATCCACAGCTCACCCTGAGGAGTCTCCAAGTTGGTTTCTACCCAACCTCCATGAAAGATGAAAAGTGGAGCAGCCTCAAGGCAAACTTTCCCAAAAATGTCGATTTGTTAGCAGTAATCCAGTTATGCTTAAGAAAAACTGAGAGAATTTGCTACGGCCCAGATTCTGTATTGCCATTTTACATTCTGTCTTGTTCACTGTTACAACTTCAGATCCTCCTGAATGTCTACAGTGCTGGAATCCAAATGGGCAAGGAAGACACTGTAGCACAATAATATTGCATTTAAATTCTTTCCTTGTGCAAAATTTAATCTTAACAAACACTTTTCCAGGGAGGGAATGTGATAAAGAGCCAATTGTATTATAGGGAAATCCTGCACAGAACGCAGAGCTGCTAATTACCAGTGTCCTGGGCAGTTCATGGGCTTCAGAGCAAACAGTTCCTTCTCCACCTCAAAGGAGAACATGTTCTCACTATAGTGCTGCCAGTGGCCGGAGGTCACCCAGAGTCGACTGTTATAAATGTTTGGGGTAACTACCTCCTGGAATCCTCGCTTCCTGTATTCACTCTGTTAGAAAGAAAATAGACAGACAGAACACAGGTATAGGTGGGAGTAAAACTGTGAACAGCAGTTTTATACTATCAAGTTCAAGGCACACATATGCTAGGAAACAGAAATTCTAGTTGGTGTCACAAACCTAAGAGGGAATTCGTGCATATGTACCAAAGAGGCTTTTAAAAAGGGTGCTAATTGCAGCATTAGCCTTTTATATGACAACCGGAAATTACATCCATACCCATCACTGAAGGAATGGGCGCACTGTGTGGTTATAAAACAACAAGCAGTAAAAATGGACGCTATGGGCTAATGCGCCAGCCTGGAAAGCCCTTTGTACTGCAAGGTCGGCGGTTCAAGTTCACCAGCTGCTTTTCGGAAGCCCTATACAGGGTCGCTATGGGTCAGAACTGACTCGATGGCACTTAACAACAACAACAACAACAACAAATAAACAAAAAAAATCACAATGCACATTAATATATGATGAGACTCCATGTACAGAAATGTAAGGCACACAAAATAACATGGACAAAAAGGATCAGAAAAGGGTCCCAAAAGGGGCTTGGGCTTCCCACTTTATGCATCATGCTTTTGTTTCTTTAACAAAAACCCAGAAACCAATATAGCACAATGTAAATACTGGTTTTATCTGGATGATGAGTACACGGAGATATTAGTTAGATTATTCTCTCTACTTAAACTTGGAGTCCTGGTGTGGCACTGGAGGATAAGCACAGAACTGCTAACCATAAGGTCGCTGGTTCAAATACACCAGTTGCTACTCAAAAATCTTATACAGGGTCGCTGTGAGTTGTAATCAGCACTTAAACATATACTTAAACAGCTCCATAATTTAAAATGGGGCTAAAAAAAGCGGGGGGAGGGAACAATGTAGAGTATCTTTTCCAGGAAAATAAAAATAAAAAAAAGTCAGACACAAAGCAAAGGTCCCACTCAAAGTTGACCAGCTTGCTCTAGTGCAGTTATTAGCGAGAACTAATCTTGTAAACATTTTCAGATGGTAGATTTCTACTGTTTATTATTTTACATGTTTCTGTTCAAGCATAAGATTGTTTTAGCAGATCTTATTTAATAAAATCATTTTATAGTCAAAATCTTCAAAAGAAAAAATGAACATGGTTTACCCTGATAAATTCAATAAGTGTATTATAAATGTAGGCTCCCTTTGGCAGGAAAAAGCAACTTCCAGGGCTGAGTTCATGGAAGAAATATAGTTCTTGGTCCTGGGTAAAAGAAGAGCAGAGATTTTAAGTTCATAAATGATATAACATAAACATTAGAGTTCTTGAGCTTAGAATACGGTCATGATAGCCTATACTTTAACTAGTGCCATGCCTGGTTCCTGCTGTGGTGCTGTAGAATAAGCACTCGACTACAAGGTTGCTTTGAACCTCAAGATGGGCGGATGAAACCGCTATGAGTTGGAACCGACTCGGCAACACATGACATGGGTCATGATGAAGGAAACATACAAGGGGCTTCCAAAAGCTCACCGACAACAGCTTCTTGCTACTCCCACCTAACTCTCTGCCCATCGCTCCTTCATGAAATGTCCACAAGTCTCAGGGAGGGGCCACACCAGCTGCTTCCTTATTGCCGGAACGTATCAGAGTCCTGGTGTGGCATTGTGGGCTAATGCGACAGACTGCAAAGTCGTTTGAACTGCAAGGTTGTGGTTCAAGCTCACCAGCTGCTCCTTGGAAATCCTATACAGGGTCGCTATGGGTCGGAATTGACTCGACAGCACTTCACAATAAACAACCTCAGAGGCAGTCAAGGAGGCAGGCCAGCAGATGCTGCTTCCTGCTGTAGCATCCCAGGCCAAAGGCTGAGGAGCCCTGGCCACAATGAACAGTACTGGAGGAAGAAGTGTTCTTATCCAAAACAACTTCCAATTTAGAACACACAACTCCATCAGTGACTCACTGTGTCACCTACTCCATCAGTGACTCACTGTGTCACCTTGGGCAACAAGTAAAACAATCTGTCCTTATCTTTCAAATAAATCTGTGAAATGGAATGATTTCCAAAGGATCTCACAACTCCATAAAGTGCTGCTACGTTCCGGTGAGGCGCTGTAGGATAAGCACTGGACTGCTAACCGCAAGGTTGGTATACAAGGTCACTAGGAGCCGGAACCACCTCAATGGCGCACAACAAAAACAGGCTTCTTTTACAGAAAATGAGAGATCGTATTTGTTCTTAATTAGAAGTAGTCAAAAGACTTAAAATATTTTGAGAACCTTCCAGAAAGAAAGTGTGTACACTCAGTAAGTACTTGACACTCACACTAGACACAGTGTCATAGTTACTGGAAAGCCACAGTATCGCTTCAAAAGTGAAACCAATACACGGGAATATTCCCAGTACTGACTACAGCTCAATTTCAAATGTCAATGAAACAACAGAAACTCAAGTCAAGACACCACTGCTCTTTAACATACCCTCCCAATCTTCCGATGATCTCGGTTTCTAGCTTCCTCTTGGAACTTCTCCCACTCTTTCAGCATTTTAGGATCAGGGAATGAAATGCCATAAATTCTCTGGAGAGTCTCCATATCCGCTTTGCCTTCCCAATATGTGGAGGAATTCTGAAAACAAAAATTAACCATAAGACGACATACATATCTGTACTTTAGATCAAATGTTATTTCTCAGAGTCGCTTTATGTGTCACATTCACATTCATTCTTATAATTAGAGAAATGACATGAAAAGTATGCTTAGTCAACATTTAGCCAGAGCAGTGGCGCTCACTCCAGAGCACAAAACTAGCTGCTTTCTTCCCTCACAGATGTCCACCCCTTCTCAGACCACAGTTCCACAAATGTTAATTATTCTGACTGCTTGGTTCTCTCTCACAACAACAGTTAAACAAAAATGGAAAACAAACCCATAAGTAACTCAAAATGATTCACAAGGCTCCTGTTAAAGTGCATTATAATAATCACTTACCCAAGGTTTATGGACTAGTACACAGTTTGTTAGAAAGAACACCTCAGGTAATGACTGGTTTCGACACACAGAAGGTCAAAACGCACACTCCCTGAAGGACTCTCACAGTTTGTAGGGCCTCCATGGCCCTGCCTGTTTGTCTGACTTTGGGAACCCCAAGCTCCATTGCCACGTGCTCTGGTGGCATCTGTTGAGTCAATCATCCCTTGAGACAACTTGGGTTATAAAGCATTGATGCCAAAGAGCATCAGTGAGAAGACAGCAAGAGGAAAGACGTCCTCCTTACAAATGCAAAAAAAAAACACTGAGAAAAATGGTAGAAAAGCGATTCTTATCGATCAAAATTTAAACACATATCTATGCTAGACAAATATGTTTATGGAGTCTGCAGGTTTATCGCTTAGACAAATATGTTTATAGAGTCTTCAGGTTTATCACTTACTTTGTGTATTTTTAAAGTCTTAATTTTGCCAGTGTGTCTGACATGAGGACCGCGGCAGAGATCTATCAAAGGGCCACACCTAAAGATAAAACAAAAGCAATGTTAAAGATGACTTAAGATAGCACACTCGACAGCTGCATTTAACGGCATTAGCTATTCTCACCTATAGACAGTGGTGGTTGGAGTAGTCACTTTTTCATTCAATATCCGGCATTTGAATTTGTTATACTGAAAACAATCAAAATGGTTTTTTTAAAAATACGCTCTTTTAATTTACTTCTAAGTAATGTAACTCAAACACAATTCATATTCATCAAGTATATCTTATCAGAGCATTTTATGAAAATAAATATTTCACTATTTCTAAAATACATGGATCTATTTTTCTAATGAACAATGTAGGTTTCAACTTAGTACACTAAACCTCAGCAGTACAACATCAAGTAATGACATAAAAGTTAAGGCTATCTGTTATGGTTCAGTTACCTTAAACATTTCTAGTAAAGTTTCTTTTGTAACTTCCAATCTTTCAAAAGCTTGCTTTTCCTTAATAATTTTCTTACATAAAGTCTCCAGAGATGAAAAATCATTGCTGGACACACCTCTGAAAGAGAACAAAGTAAACTCTGTGATTCCATTCTAATCACACTGCAGTTTGGAGGGATACTTCAAGAGTTCTAGCATAAAAAATTAAGACTTTTGCATTATACACTAGAGTTTTAAAACACAATGTTTATAAATTATTTTATATTTCCAGTGGCTTCTGCCTTTGGCCATCATGGAAGGCTTTTTCATTAACGACCCCATACCCACAACTATCACCATCGTTGTTGTTGTTGTTGTTATGTGCTGTGGAGTCAGTTCTGACTCATAGCGACCCTGTACAGAGTTTCCGAGGCTGTAAATCTTTACGGGAGCAGAAAGCCTCATCTTTCTCCCGCGGAACAGCTGGTAGTTTCGAACTACTGACTGTGAGGTTAGCAGCCCAGCTAGTAACTACTATTGTACCAGAGTTCCTTACTATCACCGGAGCTGGGTGTAAAGGAGGGAGGAGGACCAGCTTCATTTTATTTCCCAACCTACCTTAGGACTCCTCTATTGATCTAGACCACTGCTCCCCACAAAGCCCAGCATGTCTGTCTCTCCTGCCCGGCTGAGGAGCATTCTAGCCTTTACAACCTCATGAGTAAACTATCTTATGTCAAAAGGTTTGACAGTTGGCATACTTGGTAATGATGAATAAGCAATACATTTAAAATAATGTCTCCTTTACTAAGAATGCTTTTAAAATAATTTAATTACAGTGCACTGGCAGTAATACAGACCTTATTTTTCTTTACCCAGTTACTTAACTTACCCTTCTTCAAGGTACATGTCATAATAGAACCCATTTTCTATGGGTGGTCCATAACACAAGCATCCTCCATAGACTCGTTCCATGGCTTCACCCATGATGTGAGCACTAGAATGCCAATAGACCTGGAAAGCCAAGACAAATAAGACTGTTTATATCTGGGCATAAAAGTTATAAACGCATATGGTGATTTTCACGTGCAAGATAAAATTATTATGAACAAACATGATACGTAAAAATCTAAATTTATATAATAAGCTGGGTGATTCTATTCAAAATCAAAATTTTAAAAATATTTCAGTGCCTAAATTGGGTCGGAGATTTGTTCCGTAATTCCCACCACAGTGTGGCTATCTTACTGACATGGGTCAGCACTGCTCTCACCCGGACTTCAGTTGATCCTGGAGCATCACTTTAGAACTACTTCTATTTTCACAATATTGGTCAACAACAATTAAAACGATACAACTTGACCACAACACAATTATAAAACCCAAGTACAAGCATGGGCAATGAAATCATTGGTAGGACTTAGTTTTACATGGTCATCCTTCAGATGTCTAAGATTTATTATTAAAGTAAAAATATGGTATAAAAAAGTTACTGACTTCAGAATACACTTGAAAACCATTGATCCCCATTATTTAAGTAAAACACCATCATTTGAGACAAAATCCTTATTTCCTCATCATGGATACATACAAAGAAAACCTTACCATCAAATGCAAGTATCCTATAGTGTACTTTCAACAAATTCACAGAATAAGATGGGGAAAAAAGATGCAATCTATTCAATGGGGAGTACTTTAAGTAATGTTCAAATTTACTTGAACTTACGTATTTTGCTCAAGTGTTGATGGATACAGGATAGAAAGCAGCTTTTAACTGCTTAAACAATTTTTAATAAAATTTTCATAGCATTTCCCCCACTGAAATATCAAGTCATTTAAACAAATTTATTCATCTTTACCTCTTAACTTTTTAATGTAAGTTGATCTCATAAGTGTTTTAAAAAGCACTTACAAGATAGCTTCAAAGAAGTTGTGGAAAAAATTCATTATCTTTTAATTCAATTTTTCCACAAACTTTTTGAAGCTCCCTCGTACTTTTATTATGCTCCCTAAATGGAGGGTGAAAATGAATTTTGAAATCAAGATTCCAAATACGACTGTGAGACATCAAAGGCTGCAGAAGATTGAAAAGGCTGACTCTGTAAGCTGAAATTCAATGGACAATATGTAAACTCTTACTGCTTGAGCTTCCTCATCTTCAAACTTGAGAAGCTCCAAGGTACAATCTTCTTCCAGAGGGCGGTCTAGGTCCCAAACAGCTTTGTTCACTTTAGCAATAACAGTGTTGTCAGCCAGGCCTTGACTTTAAAAATATACACATATGTATTAAAACCTGAGAATCTAAAGAAGAATCTTTTGCAGCACAATATATAATGTAAGACCAAGAATAGGAAAATAAATCAACACCATACACACTACATGTTAACACTATGGACATTAGTACACTGAATTGGAAAAAGCAGTAAGTCATCCCCAAATTTACCAAAGACTGTAACTGGAAGATCCTAACAAGTCAGAACACTAATAATATTTGACATTTAATGCTTCTTATTTAATCAAACATGGTAAATAATAAACAAGTGCGATGCGGTGAGTTACTTCATAGTCTTTCTAACTCCCACCAAATGACATTTTTGCTCTGCTGATGTGGTTACGAAAAGGTGGGAGAAGATGCTGATAGGATGATATGATTCAGTTGTGACTGTTAAGAGTTCAGTGGTTGTAGAAACTTGGAACTCTAAGGTGGGTGTGTTTTTTCTAAAAAATTTTTAAACTTTTTATTGTGACTTGAGTGGAGGCTTACAGACAAGACCATTAGTTTGACTCTAAAGTGGGTTTAAAATGAGTCATCTCAGAAGCAGGAGGAGAGATCTCATTACCGTCAAAGAGCCAGGAGTGGAGCGTATGCTCTGGACCACGAGATCCCAGTGATTGAACCTCTGTGGCCCAGGGACAGAAAGCTGTGACAACAGAGGAGTGGCAGAGAGGCCGCTGCAGCAGAACCAAGGGACAGAGCGGGAGATTGAGCAGTGAGCCTACCAACCCATATGGAGCAAGTAAAGCTGAGTGACCATGGGCCGGAGGCTTGCCTGCAGAGTGGGGTGTTTCCAGGGACTTAATTGAGGAAGCTGGATTCGCTGACCCACAGAGCTAGAGCCAACCGCCTTCGGGCTGAAGTGGTGTCTCCAGGGGCATTTATGAGCAGCCTTATCCGAGCTCTGTGACTTTCTGGGCAGAGGTTGGCTAAGGAAAGGCTGTCCTGCCTGGAGTGATCCTGTATGGTGACATGTCAGCTTCTTCAGTGTATCTCCTAACTGTGAGTATGGTGTCTGAGTCCCGTGTGGTCACTGCAATGAACTACTGAGGCAGCTGAGTCATGTGTCTTGGGAGGGTTGGTTGGTGCTATTTTTCTTTTTTTTTTTTTGCATCAAGCTATAACAAATTCTAGTGGTTTAATTTTTAATTTCTCCAAATACATTTTCCACAAAGATAAGCTGTTCAGACTCCAAAGGGGTCTAAAATCTCTGCCTCTGCGCTACACTTTAATCTGTAACAGAGCTGTTCTTTGAAAGGCAAAGCTAACCTCCTTTTTCCCCTTTGTGGGGAAAATGACTCCCTTAGAGTCCCAAACGGTGCCCTGAGATGTCAGTTACACCTCAAACACACTGGGGTTCACTCTTTACCCATTTTTTAAACATGGGATAAAATAATCTATACTTTACAGTTTATAGTAAAATACAACTTTAAAGAATCCCTTCTAATGTCAATTACTCATACCTGCTTTATTCTTTCCTCTGATAGTCACTGCTGATCATGTGACTTTATAGGATAACTTTTCACTAAACAACAAAGAATCATTCCAGATTTTTGTAAAAATGTCATAAAACACCCAACTGCAGATCAGAACTAAGGCTCATCAATATCTTCTAAAAGTTAACTTCAAATTTTACAATTCCCTCAAACAGTTTCCAATCGATCACTTGAAAAACAGAATATAATCAGGAAGATCACACTGTACAGAGAAAAAGTCCTTTTATAGATGGTCAGATGCCTGAATTTGGTAACGATACAGCCACTATCTCCTTATGTGACAATGGAAGAATTCTTTCATCAGTAGGACTTTCAAAGTGATCTTTGAAATGAACTGCTGAACGGGTATTTAAAGGTCTACCCAGTCTGATCTCGCAGGGAAACTTGCTGGACATTCTTTCTTTTCGATTTCCATTGGAGTGCAGGCAGAGCACTTGCCAAATTCACTGGAGATCTCCATTCTCTTTGTAGACAGTACTAACTAATGTAGTGGGAAGTGATAACAACAATGCCCACACAGCAGACCCATGGCTCACAGATCTGGTTCTACTCTCATCTACTGAGCAGCGGGCTTACCCAGAATCAGCTGCATTGGCTACCAAACATTGTTATTTTCTTTATGAAGTTCAGGAGCCACAGTGGCATGGTGGAAAAGGAGCTTGGCTGCTAACCTAAAAGATCAGCAGTTTGAACCCACCAGCCACTCTGTGGAGAATGAGACAGTGTGCTACCATAAACATTCAGAGCCTCAGGAACTCTATGAGCAGATCTACTCTGTCCTCCACTGTCGTTATGAGTCAGAATCAAATGGACGGCAGTGGACAATATAAAACTGATGGTCATCAACCAGTTCTGATTATTCAGATGGTGGTTTCATGAAGTTCAACTCAATGCACAATTAAGTATAATATGTTAATAAAAGATAAATTTAAGAAAGGAATTATCATTTCTATGAAACTGAGCTGAATTTTGAGAAGGCTGACAAACACCAAGTCATAAAAAAAAAAAAAAGAAAAGAAAAGAAATTGTCAAATTAGGTGTGGCTGCAACTACTATGTGCTCAGACAGCTTTTCAAGACAATGCAGAACATCTACTAGCAATCTCGACCTCCAAAAGGCCTTTGCTGTTTTTATATACAATTGGCGAGTAAATATTTACTTATACTCTTTTAAGATAAAATGCTAAGAAAGTGGTCAGCATTTTTTTTTTGTTGTAAAGGACTGTTGTTGTTATTGTTAAGTACCATTGAGTCAGTTTCTACCCATAGCGACCCTGTATAGGGTTTCCAAGGAGCGACTGGTGAGCTTTAACCACCAACCTTGTAGTTCAAACGGCTTTGCTGACTGGCGCATTAGCCCACAGCGCCACACCAGGACTCTGTAAAGGACTAGATGGTAAATATTTCAGATTTTATAAGCCACACATGGTCTCTGTTGAATGTTCTTCAGTTTTAATTTTTTCAACCATTTAAAAGTATAAAGAACAGTTTTAGCTCACGGGCCTTATGAAAACAGGCAATGGCCATAGTTTTTGTCAACACCTGATTGAAGACAGACGCTTCAATTTATGATTTCCCAACTTGGTCACTTTCTTTATAATTCACCAGTTTATTAATCACAATATATCTATAAGTAAGCTTATTTAATTATCAAGTATGCATCCAGTTCTCAGCTACCTGAAATAACTTCTTATTTTCAATGCAAGGAAGTTTTAAGATTAGGTATGGTCCTTTTGTGAACTGATAAAAATAGTGCATTTTTCCTGGTGTCATGTATTAGTTTCCTAACTGGTGTGGCGCTGTGGGCTAATGCGCCAGATTGCAAAGTCGTTTGAACTACAAGGTAGGTGGCTCAAGCTCACCAGCTGCTCCTTGGAAACCCTATCCAGAGTCGCTATGGGTCATACTTAACAACATCAACAACCATCCCCGGTGAGATGATCTACTATCTTCAATACTGAGACACATTAAATCAAAATACTTGGTTTGTGACATTTATGATCAAAGTAGAAAGGCTAATAATAAGATCAAGAGAACTTAGGAGTCTTCAGGAAATGAACTTTGAATCTGGATTATAAACTCTTCATTCTGAGTTTTTAAAATCCCAAAGAAATAAACATTAAAATTTTAAACACTAACATAAATACACACACACATACAATTTGGCAAGATAACAAAAAAAGTTGAATTAGAAACTGTCGACTAGTCTATACCTAATTCCACAAGCAACATGGTAAGGCGTGGTTTTCCAAGATGCCGCATCAACCTGTTTACCATCAGGGAGAGTGACTTTAATTGGCTTGCTATTTTTTTCTGCTTTTTCTGCCAGAATGGAATCATGCTCCGCTTTCAGTTTATTATACATCTCAAGACGCGTGTTAATATATTCAGGCCAAGGGTTCAACTGCAAGACATCAAATGAAGACATAAGTAATCAGGCCATATTTTCTTTTTAAAGGAATAAGCCGACAATAGGAAAGGCCAAGGTAACTGATCATTCTGGTAGATGGATTGCTGAAGGCACCAGGCATCACTTTAATTTGGCCTTAAGTGACAGTTATATAGAAAAAATTAAACGCCCTCTTAGTATCATCTGTAAGAAAAATTTTAAAGTAGAAACACATAAATAATAACATCCAGCTGGTTTATTGTAACACCCAGAATGAACAACTATTTCTATTGTTATTTATATCAAGTACTTTAAGATAACCTCTTAAGGTCTTTTCTAACCAAGTGCTAAGTACAGTTATAAGCAACACTGTATAATAGATTGTACTGGTATCCCCCAAAATATGTACTGAAATCCTAACTCATATCTGCAAAAGTGATCCTGTTTGAGAATAGGGGTTTTCTTTCATTTCGTTAATGAAGTCATACCAGAACAGGTGGGTCATAAGTTATAAACAGTATCATAGTTATACCAAGAGCAGACACAGGAATGCCAAGGCTGCTCACTACTAGCAGCTGACACAAAGAAGGACTTCCCCCAAGCCATGTCCTGGATTCTGACTTTCAGCCTCCTGAACTGAAAGAAAATAAATTTTAGCTCTTTAAAAGCACCCATCTGAGGTGTATTTTTTATAGCAGTACTAGGTAACTAAAACATACCCACTTCTGTTGGGTCAATTCAGACTCACAGTGACTCTCAAGGCGGAAGAACCAATGACATCACTGAAAGCTTAGACCCTGTCATTCTACAGCTGCAGTCTGAACTCCTCACACTAAGTCGTTTCTTACTTGACCCTGCTTACATTGAAGTCGGAGTGCACACCTATCCCCCTAAAGAACTATTCTGGTAGCTTACTGATTTTATCTCCAAATCTACCTGGCACCTCCAGTCAGAACTTGATGTCAGACTTGATATATCAACATTCATTGAGCAGATGTCTGTGATAGTTCTGGAGATGCAGAGATGGCATACTGCCCTTAGAGGGGGATCAAAACAAGCATATAAATGAAGCAGGCACAGAAGAGGAGGAAGAGTAAAGGTCTTGGGCATCTCACTGCAATCTTTGGTCCTGACAGATCACATAAAACACGCCTAGTGTTGATTCCCAGGTAAACTTCCCTATAGAGATAAGCTTTGTGATTGATTGTACCTCTGTTTCCTATTCCCAGGCTAATTCTCAAGCTCTGACACATCAGCATTTACTAATATATTGAATGTATAAAAACAAATCAGGAAACACTGCATTTTTCTATTTCCTCAGATATTTTAAATCTCACAATACATAATTTCTCTAACGAGCAATTGAGGCGAATGGGCCAACATATGAGAAATTGGTAGGCAAGTCTATGCCAATACCACATTTAGTCACCTGTGTGCTTGCCCTTAAGTAAATGGAAATCATACAAGTTTCCTAGCTGTAACATTTACAAAAAAAAAGGCTCCTTAAAGCAAGTTTAAGGAGCTCTGGTAGCGTAGTGGTTACGAATCAGGCTGCCAGCCACAAGGTCAGCAGTTCAAAACTACCAGCTGTTCCGTGGGAGAAAGATGAGGTTTTCTGCTCCCATAAAGATTTACAGCCTCGGAAACCCTGTACAGGGTCGCTA